AAATAAGATTTATTTAAATATCTGTGTTTTAATTTGGTAAATAAAAATAGAATGTAACATTTACTGCTACCTTAGAGATTCGAACTCTTATATCATGCCGTATATGTTCTTATTAAAGTTCCTCATAGAAACTGTGTTATAAAACTGATTATGCTTTATTTTAATAATTAAATGTAGCTATCTCTTCTAAAACATCAGCTTCTTATCCCGCACCTCCCGGCAGTGTAACTCCCTTCTGATCACTTCCTTCCCTGATAGATATAATATTTAAATATTCAAATATAATGTCAATTGACATCTTCTGATACCTTGACCTTCATCCCTGTCCTTCTCTTTATCCTTCTTGGGTGTGATTTGTTTAAAAAAATTAAAATGAAACTGACTATGGCAAAGGAGATACATTTAATATAATTATTTATAAAATAATTACATTAAATGTACAGGGTGTCCAAAAATATTGGCATCATTTTAAAAACCATTACCTTGAAAACTACTAAGTCTAGCTCAATGAAATTGAACAGTTTATGTGTTGAACATCTTAAGTTTATTATGAGACCGATTGCATAAGTGTTCAATATATGCACCGCCTGTGACACGTCACACGTCAAATCGGTAGTTAAGCTCTTGCCAAACACGCTGTAGCATGTTTTCGGTAACATTATCCAGTGCGGAAGTCATTCTCTGCTTGAGTTCATCAATGCTAGCAGGAAGAGGGAAGACATAGAACAATCTCTTCACACATCCCAATAAAAAGAAATCACACGGGGACCGCTGTTGCAGTTTTTTGGGTATGTTATGCACTAGTGATCCAATCCAAATGACTTGACTCACTTCATAGTCCACCAATAGAAGGTTAACCAATCAGAAGACGTAGAATATTCAATCCGTCGTGTATAAAGGCGGCCATTTTGTTTACTCTATCCGAATGTCCAGTGCCAGCTTGTCAGGCGAAGAGGAACAGAAGGAAGAACTACGCTCTGCTACTTTACCGGGATATCCACTGCTAACCTGAACAACGCTTCCCTACTGTCTTCGAAATATTCACTGCTAACCTCTGGATTCTATACTCAAAGACGACCGTCATCATGAACAACAACCGCGACGGCTATTTCATCAGAAAACTGCCTTCATCTCCACCACGCCTGATTCATCTCACTGGCAGATTCTCATTGAGATAAACACGTATTGTCTCCTTCCATTAAATATAAAATCTTGCTCTTTGAAAACACATTCTGTGAAAATTTGATGTTATTTCAACAAGAATTGCCAAAGTTTTTTGGGGACACCCTGTATGTCCTTAGCATTGGATGCGTTTTTTTTTTCTTTATATTGTTATGTGAGGTGTTGTTCTGGCTGGTCTTTTTTGTTATTTTTATCAAAGACAGTTCGACAAAAAAAAAATTAATAACACAGGTGAGCAATATTAATAACATTGTGAATAGCTACGTCGTTGTAGCTATCAATATCGTCCTAATGAAGTCCGTGGAATAGACGCACACATGAGCCAAATACAGTAAGCAACATTCCACAAAACACATATGTGCGTCGTGTGAGAACAAGTGTATTAAATTAAAAAGCTGAACGTTAACTATAAATCGCTTATAAATTTTAACTGTGATTCTTTATAAAAAGAAGATTAAAGTCTTTAAAAAATAAGAACAAACTAATAATTTGAAGAAATAAATATCACAATGTAAAACAAAGAATTAATGTGATGATTCTCTTGTTGCATCAAAGAAGAAGGAAAGAGAATAACTCTGAATTTTCCTGCATTTGCCGCAGGTGGTAAGTGTTACCGGTAATCAATATAGCTCTTTTCTCTTTCGTGTGCAACAACGCAAAATTCTTTTTACCAAAAGAGAAACATTACCGTTAATTTCGCTAAACAACAAATCTATTTATACCAGACAATCCCACTGTTTTTTTTTGTTTTTTTTTGTTTTTTTTTGCTTTCTTCATATCAATATAAAAATTTAATTGAATTTTCTACTTGGAAAATGTTTGTATCGAATATTCGTCGAAATCCATATACGATTTCATTCTCTCTCTTTTCTTTGAACTATGAAAATCGATAATTTATTTCTAATAAACCTTAATTCTAAAGTATTGTCTTAGTTATTACGGAAAGGCCTCTAGTGTTATAAAGCGGCACAGTTGGTTACAATTTAATACGAACGTTGGTATTAATAAAAAACAACAAAGAAACAAAAAAACAAACAAAAGCATGTATCCAACACTTTTCTCTGTTTAGCATTCCAGCAAGCTCTTTGCCAATAGACTTGGATAATAGTTGACAAAAATTCCGTTTCTTACTGAATTCATAGATAGACGTCAGTTTCTGAAACGTTTGAATCCTGCTGAATATCTAGTAACCATTCTTATCAGAAAAAACCTGGTGGGCGAAGCGGTTTAGCCGCCGATAACCTGGCCATGATGGGCAGTTAATCCTGAGTTATATGGCGCCAGTAGCACTCCTAGAGTGACTATATAAATTAGCTGACCAATGACTGCTAAATCATCATTTTACTTTTATTGATTCATAAGTTATTTAACTTCAAGATATTTATCTTTTATCCTCGAAGCTATTAATTTTTGTCCTCCAAGGTATTTACTTTTTATCCTCCAAGTTATTTATCTTCCAAGTTATTTATCTTTTATCCTCCATGTTATTTGCCTTGCATCCTTCAAATTATTTCTTTTATCTTCGAAGCTATATATTTTTGTCCTCCAAGATATTTACGTTTTATCCTCCATGTTATTTGTCTTGTATCCTTCAAATTATTTCTTTTATCTTCGAAGCTATTTATCTTTTCCTCCAAGTTATTTATCTTTTATCCTCCAAGTTATTTGCCTTGTATCCTTCAAATTATTTCTTTTATCTTCGAAGCTATTTATTTTTGTCCTCCAAGATATTTATTTTTTATCCTCCAAGTTATTTATCTTTTATCCTTCAAAATATTTATTTTTGTTCTCCAAGATATTTAATTTTTATCCTCCAAGCAATTTATCTTTTATCCTCGAAGTTATTTATCTTTTATCATTTAGGTTATTTATCTTTTATCCTTCAAGTTACTTATTTCTTATCCTCCAACTTAATTTTATGTGCCCTACTCATCCAGGACGTGGGTGATCATAACTCTCCACCATTTCCTATCCTTTAAAATTCTAAACAATAATTTTTCTCTTACTATTCCTTTTTGTTCTTGTTAGGTAAGTTACTCGTTTTTTTTTCGTTGTCCCTTGTCTTAAATATATCCTGTGTATGTGAAATTCTTCAAGTTGTCTTTCCTCATTATATACCGAAGAAATTTCAGATCTCTCTTCCTGATTCTAAGTAAAAGTGTCCTTTCATTTCTAATCTTCCGTAAGACTACATCGTGGCTCAATGTTCTGTCCATGGCACTCTCAGCACTCTTTTGAAGACCACATCTCTATTGCCTCAAGTCTTTCCTGTGCGGAAATTGCCCAACATTCATCGTCATATTGATTTTCACTGATTGCATAGCAGTTCAGTACATATTTCTTTGTTTCTAATGAAAATTTCTAATGTCTTAATACTTCTTTTACCTTTTGAAAGGAATATTTCGTGATTCAAATGAGCCTATTTATCACACACCGGAAATAGTTATATTTCTGTACTTGTTTGATTCTGAATTTTCCAATTCGTAGGCCTCGTCCTGGATTCCCACCCCCTGGGTAACAACTATAGAGTCTCTATTCTTGCATAATTCTGGCTATGACAATAGACTGCATCCGGTAGATTGGGAAGTTTGCAGGAGCGTAGAACCACCTCTTAATTGCTCTTGTTCCCAGGTTAACCCTACCCTGAGTCGCGGTGGTAGCACATGTCGGGACCCCAGCTATGAGCAAAAAGTGAATTCAAAGAAAAAACAAAAAGCTTGAAAAATAGAAAAAATAGATTTTTATAGTAAAATTTCCAGTGTTCATTGCCATATTTATCACAGCGTTTCGGCCGTTGTACGCTCCGTCCTTCTTCAGGAGATTGGAATTTCGAACCGAACCCTTTATTTCGTCCACCGGGGTAGATTGTTCTAGTTTCACGTGCCATGCCCCATTCAGGATGTTTCAGTTATTTCCCTTTAACTCAACACTTTTTTTTTGGTTCACCACCGTGACAAGACACAAAGAGTTTTAAGTTCAATACCAGTTTACAGCAGTGGTGAACCACACAACTTGGAGAATTAAGTTAAAGGGAAATAAGACATCCGGAAGAGGTGTGGCACGTAGAACTAAAACAATCTACCCTGGTGGACGAAATGAATGGTTGGGTTCGTACTTCTAGTCACCTGAAGAAGGCCGGAGCGTACAACGGCCGAAACGTTGCGAATATGGCAATGAAGATGAGGATAACAGTGCGAATAATGTAAATAATCATAATACCTAATCTAAGAGAAATAGACAGATAAAATTATCAGTAATACATTTTTATATAAATTACCAACAATATGCACTAATAAACTGTAGCAACTTTAGCCAAATCCGTTTAAAATACTACTAAACAACTAACATGAAGGATCTTTCCTGACATTAATCGATATAATATCCGGCAATTACTAAAATCAAACTGTATTCCAAAATATAACTTCAACAAAACTACAACACACATATCACTGCCTCCAGTAATGTCCACACAAATATGTATATGTATAAAAGCTGAGTTTCATCTACCATGTATTCAACTGTGAAAGCGGAATAACATATATCTCTCATATATATTTTTATTCCAAGAAAATTAAATTTCGGCATTAAATGACCCACAAGGAGTTGATGTGCCGTTAAACAAACAAATCAATCTCTTCTTACAACTGATATTTATGACTTTCTTCTCGCTTTCCGTGATGAGTTTATTTTTCATCTCTAATAATCCATATTGTTAATCTAATCTGTTAGTTTTCTTTTAATCGCCTCCCTGCAAAGGTCAAATAAATCCGGTGAGAAAACTTCATTGTCTTGGGATTCTTTCTTAGTTTTTGTGCGATTACGGCCATAACACATTGAAACACCGGTTCCCGTATGATCATTGAAGTTAAGCAGCCTCGATCCTGGTCAGGACCTAGATGGGTGACCGCTTGCGAATACCAGGTAATGTAAGTTTGGATGTGCATATGGTGCAACAGAAAACGATTAAGTTCCAATTCCCTTTGGGTTCGTTATATTCACTTCGCTAATTCAATTCGGAAAGGAATGAATCCACCGCTTCTCCCCCCGTTATGAGTTAATTTTATTATCATAAAAAGTCTTACAATCTAAAAATATTTTCTGGCTTTAAATAACGTGCAAAACGGCAATAAACCGTAAAAATCAATCAATCAATATATTATTTGTTTCTATTCATTAGCTCAATTTATTTTCTATCCGCATGAAACCGGTTTGTTAACAGTACATATTCCGGATTATTATATCTTTCCCAAACAAATCAAGTTTCCCTAGCAATTCAAATAGGTCTTTGTGCCGTACCATAACAAATGCTTTTGCGTTTTCTATGTTTTGTGACGTACGGTGGCCGTTAATGATTAGATATAACTCAAGACTTCTATGTTAAATAAAAACAGTATTTAATTACAACCGCAAATAAATATTTAACAAGAACAATGAAGTAAAAGTCAACCAAAGATAATTAACCATTTCACTGAATACTTTGCTAGTAGTGCGGCTCTGCTTAACGTCCGGTAAATCTTAAATCAAAGCCCATATCATTGACGCACAATAATTCACACTAGTTCGACTGGATATTTCCCCTCAATAGTCACACAATAATCACTGCAGTCAGTAGCCTTACACCGCTATTTATGCATCTGGCGGAAATTATGTAGTCATAAGTCCAGAGTGTCACGCTCGAACCTCGGTGTCGGTAGTTACTCATTTTCTTCCTCTATGGCACTATTTCACATAGGTAAACGTTTTTTTCTGACTTGTAGTAGTCTCTCTGATATTATTCTGATAATAACATCGCATTTCTTGTTCCAGTGTCTTTAATAAAACAATTTACCAATTTAATCTCGGAATTTTTTTTATTTAATTGCAGCCCTATACATGTGACCCTATGCAAGACTAGGTGAAATTTATTAAGTATTCGACCTTCTTCATAGTTCAAAAAGTGGTCGTGTCCCTCGAAAAATACGGATTATTGAGACAATAAAACAAAACCACAAGGATCGTTAGAGTGAACCTATCAATTCTTTATTCCCGCCATTTAAACATGTGTTGAGAGAATATATTAATCAGACCAGGCAAAGCGGACGTGTACCTGTTTGGCGTGTAAATCCAACATGGCCGACGTCAAGAGGGAGCGATGATATCACGCGTAGTCGTGAGGAGCGGCCATTTGCAATCGTCCCACTAAACATGTGTGACGCTACTTTTTGAATAAGATCGGAGCGTTTTTCGGTGGACTGTTGGATCGTGTGGTTGATTTTTAGCTGTTTAATATGCATTTGGGATTTCTGACATTGGCCCTATATTTTCCTTCTCGGTTTTTGTTTTGTTTTAAACTTAAGCTATCATTTTAACTTTATAATTAAACATAAATAAATTATTCCAAAATTTATTTTGAAAAATTCCCGTTGAAAACTAAATTTTTTAAAAATTTAATGTTTGAAAGGACACATAGCACAGTAAATAAAGGCGTTAGTTAGGAACCAAAGAGTGTGAGTTCAATACCCGATTAAAGCAGTGGAGAACTTTCAGAGGGGAATTAACAGGAGATAACTGACACTTGACATCCATTAAACATGGCACGTGGAACTAGAACAGTCTACCCCAGTGAGCGAAATAAAGGATTCAGTTCGACATTCCAACCACCTGAAGAAGGCCGAAGTGCACAACGGCCGAAACGTTGTAATAAATATGGCGACAAAGATGAAGACAATAGTCCGAATAATGTAAATAGTGTACATAATACCTCATCTCAGAAATATAGACGTGTACTGAAAAATATTTGTTTAAGCTACTAGTTCTTTTTTATAGTAATATATTTGCACCCATTTAAGCAAATATGAAATGTAAAAACATAATACTGAAACACAGAAAATGATGCCCATTTTAACTATTAACAAGGATGCACTTATTTTTCTTTCGCTCCAAGAAAATGCGATTGATTAAATTAAGGTTATACTTTTATGTGTTAGTCTAAGAAAACATATCGAAGTTTTATGATCAATTAAAATCAAAGTAAGTAACACAATATTAATCCAAGGATAAAAAGTATAAGAAAAATGGAGAGACACATGGCCAAAGATAAAACGACAGTGAACTGATACTGTTTGTGAGATATTTGAGATTCGGGCATAGTAAATATTTGAGTGAATTAGCACTGTGCGGGATTCAGTGTGACGTCAATGGAATATATGACGTCAGCTGAATAAGCTTGGAACTAGAAAATAATATAGCCTCGTTTTCATGCATTTAGCTTTTAAATACTTCATGCGTTTCAGTTGGTTTTTATATGAAAAAAAAAAACATTGAAATCTCTCGTTCTTTAATATAAATTCTCGTGGAAATTTTCAAACAATGAATGTTTGACAATAAACACCGAGTATATAATAGCATACCAAAGATGTATTCACTTAAGAAATGGATACAAATAAATAGA